GCTGGGTTTTGTTTTTAGAATCTTATAGTAAGTAGTTCCTTAGAATCTTTTGGAAAGGACTCTGAAAACCAGATGTTTACCTGACCACTTCAAGGTGATTTTTCTTAAGGTTTTTAGGGGTGTGGTAGCCATTGATATTTTCTTCAGTTAAACTGTGATATATTTAAGCCCTTAAGTTTAAAGTCCTGGGGCAGGGGGACCTTTAAGCCTAGTGGGGAGGGGTAGTCTTTTTTTTTTTTTTTTTTTTAATCTGTTTTCTCAGTGTGATAAATACAGTGCAATAGAAGCATTTTCAAAAAAAATACAGTGATGGGAATAAGTTGGTATGAGGGGCATTGCAGAGTTAAGGAATACATGACAGAAGTGGTAATGACTTGAGTAGGATTTTAAAAGACAAATGGAATTGGGATGGGCATTGGGAGACGGTGATGTGAAGCTGAAGAAGTAGTAAGTGGTAGGTAGCCTTTGCATGAAGAGCCTCGTGTACCATATAAAGGGCTTAGCCTGCATGAGAGGGAATCTATGAGAGAGCCATTAAATGGTTTTAAGCAGGAAATGGATGGTCATATTTGCCTACTTTTGATGTGTATTGGGTAGATTTGAAAAGGAGATTGGAGACTTGGCATATAGGTAAAAGCGACTACAGGTTTTCCTGAAGCATCTGTTTATTCATTTATTGTGTTATTGAGTGCCTTCAGTGAGCCAGATCCTGCTTTAGATACAGAGTTTACAGCAGTAAACAGAACAAAAGCCCTCAAGGAGCTTAACATTCTAGTGAGGGGACACAAACAACAAAATACATTTTATCTCTTATAGTAAAAAGTGTTAGGAAGAAAGATAAACTGTGATAGATAATAAGTGAGTGTGGGAGTTGCTGTTTTGCATCAGGTGGTTGGAAAAGGCCAGTCTAATACGACATATGAGCAGAGATCTCCGTGAGGGGGAGAGCCATGCAAGTGGTAGGGAAGAGAGGGATGGCTTGTGCAAAGGCCCTAGGCTTATAACCTGCTTGGCCTGTTTAAGGAACAGTGAGAAGATTTATTTGGCTGGAGAAGAGTATATACTTAAAAGTGGCATAATAGGGACTGGGGAGATCATGTGGGCCTTGTGGGCTAAGATTTGAACTTCAGATTTTACTCTTGGGTGCTATAGAAGTCTATCAGACTCCTTTGATTGTGTCATACACTATCTTACCTGTGAATAGTAATTTGGATGTTTCTTTAATTAATGTTAAAGCAGAGAAGGTTAATACTGCTGTACATGGCGCTTCCAAATCAGGCCTTAAAAAGTAGGACTTTCAAAAGATCATTAAGTTATATTGACAAAAATAAAATTTTAGAAGTTATTAAAGATGTGTAGCCAGTTCCTTTCCTTTTTCTCTTTTTGCTTCAATCTTTGCCTTAAAGTGCCTACTCACTGCATAAAAGTTGTGGTTATGATAAAGACCTAAAGATCAGAAAAGAATTAGAAATTGCTTCCACTTGAAAATGTATATTAAGGTATAAATGTGCTATTGCCTCTCCCTTTAGGGAACTGCTCGCAGAAAGAAGAAGGTGGTTCATAGAACAGCTACAGCAGATGATAAAAAACTTCAGTTCTCCTTAAAGAAATTAGGGGTAAACAATATCTCTGGTATTGAAGAGGTAAGTGTCAAGTTTTATTTCATCATAAAACAAGATTTTGCTGAAAAAATTTTAATGTTCCTTTTGTAATTTTTTTACTCTGTTTCCAGCAGAGAATTTCCTATTGCTCTAGATTTAAAGTTCCTAAGATATATTCCTACCCTGTTAACAAATATCAGGGCGATTGCTAAGTCTGAAAGCTAC